ACACCGTTGCCGCCCTTACCGCCCTCACTGATGAAAATGATGCATGGATTTTGAGACTTGATTGGCCTCAGTTTCGTCGTTGTCGTAGTAGTATTCAATCGTAAAAATGCCATGGTTTCTGAGTGACTCGTTTCGGATGGTTGAACCGTGTTAGTTGCTGTTGTGTTTGGGGATTCTCCGGAAGTCTCTGCTTTTGCCTTGGTTGTTTTTTTTGCCTTGGTAGATGTCGGCTAATGTGCAAGCTCGGGACATCATGGAATGCCCGGAGTGCAAGGGGAAGACTCAGATCGTCGTGGACTATGCTCAAGGTCGTATATTGGTGGTTGTTAAGGAGAGGGGTTGCGGATGGTGTCTGCGGTCAGGTTCGGTGATTTGCCGTAATTGTGGATTGATTTTGGAGATGTCATGCATTGATGATTCGCAAGAATGGCGGTCATTTTCGGATAGCAGTGGACCGGACAGGAATCGAGTTGGAGGGACGACTAATAATATGTTGCATTCTGGGGGCTTGGGCACTAGTGTTGGTAGGAGGGTCCCGGGTTCGATTCTTGGCGGAGGCACCTTTTCTGTTTTATTCACATTTAGGTCGGTAAGAGGGTTGCTGATGACGAATGCAGTGTGGGAAAATATGCATATGGTCAACTACGTGTTTATGGAAATTTTGAGGAAATTTTGGGAAATTCTTCCTAATTTCTATGCACTTCTACCCGAGCGTAGTATGGAAACAGACTCAGCAGAATTTCCCAAAAATTCCCCAAAAATTCCTGAAAATTTTTTATAATGTCGCAATCACACGTCGTCGAGCATGTGCAACTTTTCCCGCACGGAACGAATGGCTGCTGTTCTGTGATATAGTGTTCAAAGCGGTCGGAGGAAACAGAAATGGCGATACAATATATCATATGTATTTACCGAGGTTTATACGTGGGTTCGATCCCTCGCGAAGACATTTTTCAGGTCATTAGTATTTTATGTTGTTCCTTGTTTAGGTTTTGGCAATAGTAGATTGGCCCGTACCCACATGATAGCGGTGAATAGTGATAATGTGGATCGTACTCTCAACAAGGGTCATAAGATTCTCCGAGACATTATGGACGCCCTGGCTTTGCCAGACAATATCTACACACGATGTTGTCAGGTGAGAGCAGTAGCAGCGGAGCGAAGTTTTTTCCATGAAGGTGTTTTTAGATATTAAAGCAGATGGACGATAGTGGATTGTTGAAGGGGAAGACGAATTATCCGTGGTTGTTGGCAGTAACGTATATGGCATGCAGGCAGGAGGGAGCTGGAAGAAGTATCAAGGAGATACTCGCGGCCCAGCCTACTGTGAAGGTGGGCTTACTTGGACATAGTGGGCGGGTGAGGGGAATGTCAGAAGCAGTCATTCACCGACAACAGTTGTCGATTGGCTGATCTGCGTAATAGAATTGAATGATATGCTGTATTGAAATCACTCCCAAAAGTTCATAACGCGACGAACGGAAAGCTCTGGAGCACTCGCAGATGAGCGTTCCGGTGTCGGAGTGATAAACTGAGTTCGGT